ACGCGGAGAAACTTCTTTTTTTTTTGTAATCTTAGGAAAGATTACTGGAGTTATTACTAAATTCTTCGCGAGTTTTTGCGAACTCGATGACAAAAGTTTGAGTATTCCACCGAATTCATGTGAATCGAGGATTGCACAGGATTGGGTCATACTCCGTCTGTATTTTTTTACTCTATCTTTTAAAATTATTTTACAACACCCGAATTTTCACGGTTATCTGACATTAACCAAAAGTTTCTACCGCGATTTAAGTATAAATTCTCCAGAATTTTTTTGCAAGAATTAAAAAAAAATCAATGAGAACCCAAAAAATTTCAGTGCAAAATTTTCTCAAAATTCAAATAAAAATTTGAATCGATTCAGAGATTATTCCGAAATGATGAATAATAAAGATGAATATTAGAAAATAAAAATTCAGTATTTTTGGAGATAAATCGAATGTCCTGACTCGAGTCCTGACTCTCGAAAATGTTTGCAGACTGTCCACGAGATTTCAATTTTCCTCCAAAACGAAAGTAGTAAATCCTCAGTAAACTGGTGCTCTTAAATTCCTGAACTTTATTCGAGCGGTATAATATTACCTGGAATTCCGCAAAAGTTATCGCGTTTCACCTAGTGCCTGGACGTTATATCTCGAAATTTTTCATGAGTCCAACCAGAATGTTACAAATAATATCATAATATCACTGGACGCGAGTCTGATCGAAGTAACACAAAGAAACCGAAGCAAAAGAGCCGGAGGGTTGAAAAGGATACGACCTAATACACAGACATATGTATTACATAACCATTCAATATGAGAAAATAAAAGACATAAGTTCCATCACGATTTTTATAATTACAGCATTCGATCTCGTGAGATAAATAAAAAATAAATGTAAAAATCACAAAAATTGATAAATCATTGAGTTATTTATGTATCAAAAACCCCCGACCGTCGATTATTATTGAAAAACGCAGAATAATACTAAAAAAGATTAAATAATAATCGAAGAATTTTAACGAGAATTTTTATTTATCCCCTTGTAAACGTGAATTATGAAAATTTTTATTAAAAAAACTATTGCAATAAATTTGTTGCGCAGAATTTTTACAGGATGATAATTTTATTGAAAAAAAATTGCCGCAGCTTTTCTGGTCGTTTTTTAAATGAGAATGTCCAACAGAAAATATCACACAGGAAAAGCCATAAGATTTCATTTTTTATGCTTTCTAAATTAACAACTACGAAAGAAAAATTCCACGGGTTGAATTTTCCGTCGTAATTGTCAATTTCGTCATGCCATTTTGTCATCATGGGAGAAATTAATAAAAT